TGTATTGACTAGGAATGTGAGGAGTACAAATAGCAATCCTAGAAAAGTGTTGTACTCCCTATTGTGCTACTCACTGTAGCCTACTAGCATAAATTAACATTTGACAGTCAGGTAGATGAGGCTCGGAAGGGTGGAGAATGGTGGGAGGGAATGGTTTGGGGCGGGTTTGTAAGTCGATCCAGCTGACGCATAGCCCTCCCAGTACCCGCTAAAGTGAGAGCATGGTAAGGAACTGTAATTTCTTACATGTAGGATAAACATATGTTTCTTAGTTTGGGGTTAAGTATTGGTTACTGTAAGGAATTTTCTCGACACTTCTTACCGCGACCTGCAACATCGTGTACAGGAGCAGCCGTTGTTCGCGCGTTACTGGTAACGGGGCTTCGCCAACTTTGCGCGCACTGTTTCACCGAACGTCGCACTGCTGGAACAGCCGAGTCGGCCTACGCTTCGTAGTAGATAGGAAAAGTCTGTCAAGTTTGAGAGAAGATAATGAAGTCTTGCAATGACCTTGTTAATAAAAGTTGAAAGAGAACAAGATGAATATAAGATAGGAGTACAAGTGTCAGAATGTGATGTTTGTGTAGCCTGCAGTGGGGTACTCTATAGCGAGTACAGCTCGAATTAGGGTTTGCTATATGTACTCAACTGCATGCTAGTGAAAACCTCTCTTTCCTGTTTCTCGTTTTCGCCTGCTGATTCGACATGGTATCAGAGCAGGACGACCCTCCTGGGTCGATCCTGTGGGTGGGCCCCACCCGATGCTTCCGCTGCTCTACTGCCTGTAGCGCGCCCCGGGCGCGCGCCGTTTTCTTCCTGCCGTGCGCTCGGAGCGTGCAGCGTTTTTTCTTTCCGCCGCGCGCTCGGGGCGCGCGGCGATTTTTTGCCCTGCGGGCGCGCGGCGGTTTTCTGCCGCGTCGATCCGCGCGTCGCCCCCCATCGCCCGTCGCAGCGCCCCCGGGGACCCGCGCGTCGCCCCCCGTCGCCCGTAGCGGCCCGCGCGACCTGCGCCAGGCCCGCGCGCGGCCCGTATAGCCCGCGCGCGGCCCGTACGGCCTGCGCCAGGCCCGCGCGCGGCCCGTACGGCCTGCGCCAGGCCCGCGCGCGGCTCGTACGGGCTGCGCCAGGCCCGCGCGCGGCCCGTACGGCCTGCGCCAGGCCCGCGTGCGGCCTGTACGGGCTGCGCCAGGCCCGCGCGCGGTTCGTCCGGCCTGCGCCAGGCCCGTGAGCGGCCCGTACCGTCTTCCCCTGTGCCGCACGCCGTCCCCCGAGCTTCTGACCGCGCCCCACCCCCGCTGCTGCCCGCGTTCCTGTGTTAGGGTTTGGGGGTGGAGAGTATGGGGGTGCCGTGTGTGTGAGCCGTCCCCTGCTCCTTCTCCTCCTCCGTCTCCCACTGCTGCAGCTGCCGCTGAGGGGGGTGGATGTGTTGGAGCCGTCGGAGTGGTACGAGGGGGGTGGCGTGTGAGCGGTGCTAGTGGTTCAGCAGGGAGTGTGTGAAAGGGGTGTGGGACAGTTGGTGGAGGTTGACCGGAGGTAGCCGACTTGTCGTCCGCAGCGCCTGAAGTCCAGTGAGCCAAGACCCCCTGTGGCCTGAGTAGTCCGGGGCTCTGCGCCCGGTAGCCACAGTGTGAGCACTCCTGGTAGTCCAGAGAGCCACGACCCCCGGTGGCCTGAGTAGTCCGGGGCTCTGCGCCCGGTAGCCACAGTGTGAGCACTCGTGGGAGCACAGCGAGCCAGCAGCGCCTGTCGCCGTGTAGTCCGGGTTTAGCCTGGTAGCAACAGTGCTGCGCACTTCTGTTGCCCGTGTGTCTGCAGCTTCAGCCGTCGTCCCGCATCTTCTCGCCCCCACAGTTTCTCCTCCTCCTCACTTGCTCTCTGTGATAGTCTCTAGCGCTGCTTATAATTGTGAACTACTGCTCTGCCCGCTTGTTGTGTTGATTGTACCCCACTTTGACTATGGGGGTGTGTCAGAATGTGATGTTTGTGTAGCCTGCAGTGGGGTACTCTATAGCGAGTACAGCTCGAATTAGGGTTTGCTATATGTACGCAACTGCATGCTAGTAAAAACCTCTCTTTCCTGTTTCTCGTTTTCGCCTGCTAATTCGACAACAAGGATATAAGTAGCAATCTTAGCTAGCCATATACTCTGAGGGGTACATTCCCTTATTAACTGAACTACATTGCTATAGTAACAACGACTATTGCTCTTCTTGACAGTTACCATGTTGCATCGCGTAACTACCAAGTGCGGTTACTGAGCGGTCAAGAGTCACGACCATTGACTGTCTTCGAATGTTGACCTTCGGGTGATTCTCGATCTTTCGCTTGCTTTATATGAGCTATTGCGGTAATGATATAGTCGCGTTGTTTCGTTAAGGAGTGACACGTGAGTGGAGATCCTTCGGGAATGTTATGAATACCTTTCGGTTATTCCAACATCACTCATCAACACTTCCGCTGTGCAATATCTGCGATCAACCCTTAACAAGATCCTGACTAAGTCACACGCGGACTAACAAACGCTGCAATGCTCGCTGATACTATAAGCAAAATGCTTTATGTAGTAACAAATGTAGGAGATATTCTGCATAAAAATGCAATACATAGAACTTAATTTGCATATACAATATGGAGACAAGCATATTGCGTGCAAGGGTTTGCTGATGTGGGAGAGTTGTCAAATGTATTGATTCTATGGATGTTTCCATTTATTTATGTAGTTTGTTACACAGATTTACACCTCAAGCTGTGGGTGTGCATGGAAGGGAACTGTACACAAAACAACGCATCGTTGTCTACTGTTCGGAATTGGAAGGGAACAGCACGTTGCGTCGTTGTCTACTGTTCGGTCAACTGTGGTCTTGGGAGCGCAGCTGGTCTAAATTCGTGTTTGATTGGCTAAGGTGCCGGCGGAGAACCACGTTCGCGCCCTGAGAGTTGCCCAGCTAATCAAGGCACCAAGGTCAACCCTTGGAATTCCAACGGCAGGGCTGACCTTTTCTTGCCTGGTTGTTTTGGGAGTTATTAGGACGGGTCAACTACACCTCATTTTGGCAAATGGATCTTGCTCGATCGATCCTCCACCGTACTGAAATCACGGTTGTGGTAGCCACACCTTTCGCGAACTTTTTTAATCCTGCCAAAAATACGAACCTGCGCAGGTTCGATTGCGCAAACGAGAAGGGAGTTGACGCGTCCTTATTTCATCTCACCCTCAAACCCAATGTTTGACCAAAACGCTTTTTGTTCCTGAGGCAGATCTGCCAGAGGTCTAACACTGTTTTTGAGCGTGTCGAGGATTGTCGTCGTTCACGTTTCTGTTTTAGGCCAGCCGCACACGTTTTCTGAAGCATTATGGAACAAGAAAGTGGGTGGGGACTGAGGAGATTAAAACCGGAGTCTCAAACAGCCCAAAAGTGCCTCAACCTTCCTAACTTTGGTTGGGTGTGACCGAGTAGATGCTCGCTCGCTTCGCAAACTGTCGAAACAAATTTCGTCAAGCGAAATTGCTGTACTGACGAGAACGATAGCAGTGACAATTTCGCTCACAATTTCGAAGGCCGTCCGAAATTGTTGCGAATGAATTCCTACAGTTGCATTCAAGATCTGGTTACGGATGCGAGGTACTCAGGCTCTGCGATCCGCAACCACAAAACTCGACACCACCCTGGTTCGAGCGCCACTCACGTCCCTTCCCCCAAGCAACCTTCCTAACTTCGAAACTCTTGGAACCCCGGTTTTAACTCTACAACGGTGGGAGCTAGACTATGGGGTGGGCACGAGTTGTAGGAGTTATCAAAGCTCTGTCTGAGTTCTCTAGGACTTGTGTTTTCACAGGGTAAAACAGCAAGAGTTTCACTAAGGAAAATTGAGAATACAGAGTTCAGAATGATAACAAGCAATGGCAAAGATGGACTACATCACATGCAAGGTTTGCCAGTGCTCAGGCAGGTCAACTGCCAGCGTGACAGAGTTGTCAACCTGCCAACGTAGCAAGTCTGCGGTCCGCCAACGCAGCTTGTGTGCGACTTGCCAACGCTGCAGATGGCGGCCTGCCAACGCTGCACCCGCGCGGCTTGCCAACGCAGCATCCGCGCGGCTTGCCAACATTGCATCCGCAGGTGACTGTAAGCGCATGTGCAAGCACCTACTTTGCAGGTGCTTGTAGACAGTTATGCACGACGTGCACTGTCAAGTACATTGCGCAGGTTGTCAGCCACATGCTGACAGTTGCACATGATGAGCCACGTCGACCATGTGCTGCCACGTTGGTCGACTTCGCCACAACAGTCTCGACGACGTTCGCACACCTTCGCACACTCGTCGAGCAGGTAACTCGGTCAACCAGATGAAGTCCCTGACATCTCTGCAGGATGATGACCTTTGTCATCACCGGTTGACGACCTTTGTCATCGCGGGTTGACGACCTTCGTCGTCGCTGCTCGACGACCTTCGTCGAGCACCTTCGTTGAGCACCTCGGTTGACATTTCAAAATGTCAGCTCCTGATTGGTCGAAATTAGGGCACATTCGAATTTCTGGCCAAAATTCGCCTGTGCAGTCTCAAGGTTGCGCAGGGTCAGACGCGACCCTGCGCAGACGAACACCCGCGAACTTCTGCACCAGCTGCGCCACTTGTTCATGCGCACGGGAAGACTGTGTTGCACTCGCGGATGCTTCAATTACTTTTGCATGGATTCCCTAGTACACCTCGTGTACAGGCAACCCTCGAACCCCTGGAGAAGGTCGGCTGCACCTCCCGCACACTCGACCATAAAGTCAGTTTTGCCCATGCGAGGGCGGGGCCAATTTCCTTCAACAGGGACTCGATCAACTTGAAGTTGACAATCGAACGCGGCGCGTTTCTGCCTGCAACTCACGAAGCCCCCTTAGTAATGTAAAAAGCCAAGTACTCTAACGTCTGTGATCATTTTTCACCCATGCCCGCCTGATCCTGTTACCTTAAGCCCAGCCAGAATCGCACAATGTCGGAGTCTCCGAATGAATCTTCGCACCGTTCAGCCGAAGAACAGTAGCAGCAGTACCAGCCGTTCAGCATCATTTGTCATGGCGGAGAAGTAGGGCAGACGGAGCAGAGGAAGCAGCAGACACATCAGGAGACGCAGCTAACACAGACACAGCAGGCGACTGATTCAGAACCACATGACCTACCTGTTGTTCCTCCGTGCTCCCTTCCCTCCCTCTCGGCAGAACCCTCCCCTTCCTCCTCCTCCTCTTCCTCCCCTCTCCGCTCCTCTCTTCCCCGAGAGGAAAGGGCCTCCTCTCTCGGGCCATCTGCGCAACGACATGCAGTTGATCTCACCACCTCCTTCCCGCAGTTCAAGCGAGAAATTGCCCGCATCCGCTGCTTGGCATCCCTCAAATCCGCTGCAGCTGCAGCCGCTGCGGCTTCCTCTGGTGCCGCTTCCTCTCCTCATGCTGGGTCTCCGTCTGGTAGAACGCACTCCAAAGAGCGGTGGCAGGAGTGGGCCAAGCAAGTGAAGGGAAAGAAGTTTCATCCTCATCAGCAGAACGAGCAGCAGGAAGAGGAAAACGAGGAGGACGAGTGGGCTGACCAAGTGAAGGGGAAAATATATCATCCTCATCAGCAGACCGAGCAGCGAGAGGATGAAAACGAGGAGGAGGAGTGGGCCGAGAGAGTGAAAGGAAAGGGGCTCCTGTCACAACAGCAAAACGAGCAGGGGGAGATGGAGGAGCGGGAGAAGGAGGAGCCACAGAGCTGCGATGAAATTCAAATGGATCAGCAAACAGATAAGAATGCAGATAAGCTGACAGATCAGCAGACCGATGAGCAACAGGAGCAGGATCAGAAGCAGATTCAGCAGGTGAAGCAGCAGGTGAAACACTCACAGGGAAAGCCACCGAGACCAAGTCATAGCCGCAGTATGAGTGCACATTCCACTCTCAACAGGCGCCATCATTCAGAGCTCCGTCCTCGTTTCTCCTCGCCAGCTACCCCCTCAGATGCCTCAGGTGAATTTCCAGGTGCATCTTCAGGTGTATCGCCAGGTGCCTCCTCAGGCCCCAGCCGCAGCAGGCACGTTTCCCATTATCGATCGCGCGGCTCCAGTGCTGAAAGGATGCATTTTGGCTCTTTTTCTGGTGGACACTCCTCTGCTTCCGATTCTAATCTTACCTCTGCAGCAGCAACCATTTCGGGCGCTAGCGCTTTTTTGCACACTCAGGGGCCTATTCAGGTCCACCCTCAGGTGTTTTCTAAGGTGCGTGCTCAGGTGCGTCCTCAGGTTTCCCAGTTCCTCTTTGAGACGTGCTTTTCGCCAGAACCCCCGTTGCCTCCTCGTGCAAACCTTCTTCTGGCGAAATACTCTGAACTGTCAAGGATGGAACGTAGAGAGCTCTCAAATAGAGGGCATGTCCTGAGGCCTGAAAAAGGGGAGAGAGTGCGAAAGGAGAGAAAGGTGGACGTGGAAGAGAGAGAGCGAGAGGAGGAGGAAGAGAAGGGATTGGAGGGGAGGAGAGCGAAGGTGAACGAGTGCAGTGCAGAGGGGTTGAGAACGGGAAGGGGAGGAGGTAGGGAGAGGGAGGGGGAAACGGGTAAGTTGGTGTGGGAGAAGCTAGAGCAGCAGCTGGAGGTGCAGATGGAGGAGGAGGAGAGGCGAGACAAATATTTGGAGAATCAGCGAGCAGAGAGCAGAGCGGTGCTGCTGCTGGAGGGAAGATGGTTGGGAGCTGTGAAGGGCAGGGTGGTGAGGTGGATGGGTATGGTGCTGAGGGGTTGAATCCGGTACTGACGCCGGCCAAACCATGCATGCTTTCCCGGCTAAATGCTGCTCGACGCCGCCCATCTGAAGGCAGCAGTTTCGACAGCAAGAGTGTGGGAATTGGAGGAGAGGAGAAGGGAGAGATAATAGGGAAGATTGATTGGACGAGTGATCGAAGTGGGATGGAGGGTGAGGGAGAGGAGGGGGATGAGGAGGAGGATGCGGAGGAGGAAGGAGAGGAGGAAGGGAAGAAGGGCGGGGAGATGCTATCTGCAAGGGAAGAGGCCATGATGCTACTTTGGGAGATCCCGGGCATAGGGAGCGAGGAGGGGGAGGAAGAGGAGGAGAGGAGGAGGGTGCGATTATGTCACTCCCTGGCAGCAGCAGCTGGGGAGATTGCCAGTGGGGCTTTAAATGTGGCAGGGGGGATCAAACAAAGGGCGTTGAACGTGAGGGAGGGGATTAAAGAAGGGGCATTGAATGTCAGGGAAGGAGTTAAGGAAGGGGCGTTGCATTTCAAGGAAGAAGTGAAGGAAGGGGCGTTGCATTTTAAGGAAGAAGTAAAGGAAGGGGCGTTGCACGTCAAGGAAGAAATTAAGGATGGGGCGTTGAATGTTAGGGAAGGAATCAAAGAAAGGGTGTTGAACGTGAAGGAGGGGATAAAGGGAGGTGCAAGGAACATAGCGTCTGTGGCAGTGGCAGCAGCAGCAGCAGCAGTGTCGGGGATAGCCTCTGATGAGTCAAGAAGGGCCCATAACATGGGACGTTTGCCTCGACATATGACTCTCAGCGGTGATGACTCTAACTGGGGCTGGGATATTGAAGGAGGGGCAGGAGGAGAGGGAGTGGGAGGAGGAGGAGGAGGAGGAGGAGGAGGAGGAGGAGGAGGAGGAGGAGGAGGAGGAGGAGGAGGAGGAGGAGGAGGGAACAGGTTCTTGCAGACGCTCGGTAAGGTGAGGGGGACCATGTTGGCGTTGAGCAGCAAGGGTCTACACAGAAGGGAAACCTTCAGGGCAACTAGCCCTATTTCTCCCAGGTTCTTTCGCAATTTGCCCAGTGTTTTCAGTCGTAAAACGGCGCCTGCTGAAGAGACAGTGCTTGTTCCCATGGCCCGCGAGGGGGGAAGAGTGGTGAGAAGCAAGAGTGTGGGCCAGAAGGGAGTGACTGAGGTTGGTTTGAATCCAGACGTGGGAGCAAGGGAGGTTGGAAGTCCACGCTCTCGGGACCTGGAGAGTGCTTCAGAGTCGCTTTTGCAGCCACAAAGCCTGAGAAGGTCCTATTCAAGGGAGGCGGGACCTGGTTCTCAGCCGCTTCAAAGCCTGAGAAGGTCCTATTCAGGGGAGGTGGAACCTGGTTCTCCGCCGCTTCAAAGCCTGAGAAGGTCCTATTCAGGGGAGGTGGAACCTGGTTCTCAGCCACTTCAAAGCCTGAGAAGGTCCTATTCAGGGGAGGTGGGACCTGTTTCTCAGCTGCTTCAAAACCTGGGAAGGTCTTCTCCAGGGGAGGTGGGATCTGGATTTGGGGTGCTTCCGAGCCTGGGGAGGTCTTATCTGGGGGAGGTGGAGATTGGTGCTGTTGGGTTTGCAAAGCTTGTACGGAGATATGATGATGATGATGATGAGGAGGAGGAGGAGGAGGAGGAGGAGGAGGAGGAGGAGGAGGAGGAGGAGGAGAAGGAGGAGGAGGAGGAGGATGCGGATGAGAGCGAGAGTAACAATAATGAGGCTGGCATTGAAGAGGATGATGAGAGTGACAATCACAAGTGTGGTAGCAGCAACAGGGCCATCTGGTGGGGCGGTTATGAGGAAGAGGAGAAGCTGAGGGCTGATGATTCAGGTGAAGATTCAGGTACAACTTCATGTGAATGTTCACAGAACCCAGTTGTGCTTAGTGGTTTGGAGGAAGGAGAGACTTCGAGTGGGCGAGCGGTAGCGAAAAGGGCATTGGAAGAGGGGAGCGCATTGAATGCGGGAGGAGGATCAGAAGAGGAAGGAGGGTTAGGAAGGGGTTTGCAAGGGGGAGGAGGATGGCAAAGAGCAGTCGCTGGATGGGGTGCTTTGAGGAAGCTTGACAGTAGGCGGCGAGATCGTCAGTCTAGGTCATCATTTGATTCTGATCTACCTTCTGTGGAGGAAGAGGAGGTGAAACAGTATTTGAGTGAGGAGGGGAGAGAGGGGGGGGAGGGAGAGGATGGGCCGAAAGGGAGAGTGATGGATGGTGGGAGAGAGGAGGAGGATGGCAGAGAGGTGGAGGGTGAAAGAGAGGAGGAGGATGAAAGAGAGGAGGAGGATATTAGAGAGGAGGAGGATGCAGGAGAGGAGGAGGATGAAAGAAAGGAGGATGAAACAGAGGGGGAGGATGAAATAGAGGAGGATGGGAGAGAGGAGGAGGACAAAAGACAGGGAGAGGAGGGGAGAGAGATAGGGGAAGGAGGAGATGCAATGCGGAGAATAGGGAAGAAGGAAGGAGAGTTGGAGGGGGGGAATAGGAGTGAAGGGGAGGAGCAACAGAGAGAGCCAGAGGAGGGAAGGTGCATCGGGGATGTGGGAGTGAGGCAGCAGCCAAGACAGGCAGAGGAGGGTGTAAAGGTGCAAGGGGGGGATGAGGTGGAGGGGGAGGGCGAGGTGGAGGGGGAGGGCGAGGTGGAGGGGGAGGGCGAGGTGGAGGGGGAACGAGGGGTCGAGGTACAAGGAGGGGCGAAGGAGAGTGCAGGGGTGAAGGGAGGAAATACTTAAGAAGGTGATAGTGATAGGATGCAGGAGGATAGAGCGCATGTGGAGGGAAATTGCAATAGGGAAGTAGGAGTAGGGCAGGAAGGAGGAGAAATAATGGAGGGTAGGCCGGTGGAGGGGAAGGGAGAGGAGGAAGTGAGAGAGAGAGCTGGGAGTGAGACAAGGGATTAAATTTGGAAGGGAGAGGGAAGAAGAGAGTGAGGAGGGAAGTCGTAGGGATGAAAATGATGTGGAGGAGAATGGGCAGAGGAAAGGCGAAGGGGGGAGTGAGGGGGAAGCAGAGATAGCAGGGGAAGAAATGGCATCAGCATCTGAAAGAGGAGTTGTTGAACCATCGCTGCCAGCTGTAGTGACTGCTCCTGCTGTAGCTGTATCATATGTATCATCATCAGATGTACCTGCATCAGGCATAACTACTTCATACATGCCTGTTTCATCACATCGGCAGTGGCGGCCGCGGTGGCAGCAGGAGACGTGGCGACTGATGAGAGTGCAGCCAGTGCTGCTGTGCTGTTGCAGGCAACACCAAACTCTCTTTGAACATACTTCGCAGCTGTTAGTGAGGCGAGGAGCAGCAGATGGGCAGGAGGTGCAGAGGCAGAGGCAACAGGCAATCAGGGAGAGTGCCGCTTGTGCCGCTGTGCTGCTGCAGGCAGACCAACCTCTATATGAATGGACTTAGCAGCTGTAAGTGAGGCCAGAGCAGCAGATGGGGCAGGAGGTGCAGAGGCAGAGGCAACAGGCAACGTGGTAATCAGGGAAAGTGCCGCCGGTGCCGCTGTGCTGCTGCAGGCGTACCAACCTTTCTTTGCATGAACTTAGCAGCTGTCAGTGAGGCGAGGGCAGCAGATGGGGCAGGAGGTGCAGAGGCAGAGGCAACAGGTGACGTGGTAATCAAAGTGAGTGCAGCCAGTGCTGACATGCTGTTGCTGATGCTGCCATGCTGCTGCATGCAAACGAGTTTCTGTTTGAAGGGACACATGAGCATTTAGTGAGAAGAGAGGCAATCGAAACAAAAGCAGAATCAGAAGCTGAAGCGCAAGGAGAAGCAGCAGCATGAGGGGGTATGTGAGGTTTTGTGAAGGGAAGACGAGAAAGACCAAAGTGAAAGGATGTGAGAAGAAAGCGTTGCTTAAGTTTCCATCCAGGGAGATACATGGGCAGTGTTCCTGAGGTGGGGAGCCAAGCAGGCAAGGGCAAAGATTAAAAAGCGATAATCTGGACTTTTAAATTCATGTACTATTTTGATTATAGCAATGAATTACAAGCATATTTCTATAATATATTGCAATAATCTAGTAGTATGGATCCGCTATTTGCCTTATTGAGTCGCTTCATTATTGGGGGGGGCACTTGCAATTAGCTATCTCATAACGAACTTGTTGGGAGTATGATGCAATGTTCGAGTAATTAAGGGCATCCACTGAAGTTGGAATTTTGCGTGCTCAAGCTCGCATGATTCTGCTGCATGTTGCGTCGATCATGGGTGGGATGGATACCGCTTTGGTGGACCATGGGTGGGATTAATTAAAGGATGAGTCGAAGATGATGTGCTTTTATCTGGGTGATGCAAAAGTGTAAGTAGGGCACACTCTTGGAATAAACAAAATACTTGCGCTAAGATCCAATACATGCTACAGCAGAGGCAACCGGAAGATATATGCACAGATCCGTAGATGGGATAAATGGTAGTACACTCTGCAGTTTTCCCGCTCGCACTGGTGGGGAGGGGGGGGAGGGGGAATTGAAACCAAATGGATGTGGATGCGATTCAAGGACATATCAACTTCAAACATCAGGCAAGTTACGTATTAAGGATTGATCAATCCGATAATGCATCCAGGTTCCTTATGGGTCTTATCATTTTTTGCTGCAGTTTCGTGTATGTCCATTCACATGATTATCCCCCATTTTATAGTAACCGATCATTTGAAATGTCTTACCATACATGTAGAAATACACATTCTTTTAACCACTGATAATTCGATGCCCTTGTTTATTGTTGACGCCATGTTTTACCTCAAAAGTATCAACTCATATGGAGGTGAGAAGAAGTGAGGTTGTGTAGGTGTTACGAGTGCAATTGAGTGAGAGAGCGAGGAATGCACTATCAAAGCAATTAAACAACATGGGCGAAGGCATAAGCGAATGTTATATAGTGAAGGCATGTGGTAACGATAATGGGCGAACATGGGGTGCCCGGAGCGCCGAGGTGAGGAAGAGTGCCCGAGGCATAAGGCTGGATCGCGGGTACCAGCCGAGCCGCCTGGTTTGGCCGTGACGGTTGTGGTGGCAAAACCAATAGCCAAGGCGAATATCGCAATGTGATAACGGAACACCCTGGTTGTGATGGCGGGGACAATGTTGTACACGGTATGTGAGGTGGCACAAAGAAAGGAAGAGGTGTTTCCTTACACCACCCCCCTCCCCTAGGCCCTTAGGAAAGTGTGTTGACGTCTCGGAAGTTTCCGCTGCAAATGTAGTTGGAGAGGACCGGGTGATTCTCAACTTTGTCCAGCAATAACCAGTTGTCTTCTGCTGGTGTTCGATCCTTCTAGTGGAGTGGGAATTTGATGCGGTAAGCTCCACATGGGACACAAACTAATTGGCCGAGGATTTTTTTTTTTTTCAGGTTCAATGACTGGCTCCGTATGCGGTCATGTCACACTGGATGGTCAATTGCGTAGGAGTTTCCTCGTGGATGGAATGTAGGGGTGGAGCAGGCTGGCGTGGAATGATAGGTTGACGTACCAGTCAGTAGAGGTTTGCCATAACATGGGTTATCATTCGACTAATTTGAAACGACCCGCAATATGTTGGGCATAAACTTAAGGTCATCGACATGCAAGCATTTAGAGTGTTGAGTAGGACCAGATCTCTAGGTTGGTATATGACAGGGTGGTGGTGGCGATCAGCGTTATGCTTAGTGATGAGGTTGGATTTTTCTAACTGCGCACGCACACGTCCTACGTGCGGCATTGGGCAACCTCGCAAAATGACGAGCTTCACGAAACAGCTGGTCTGGAAGGCCCTTCCTTTTGCAGCAGCAGCTCGTAGTTACTTGGCGAGGTGACAATTACTCGTCGCCAACCTATGGCAGGCTCACGCAGTAGATAAACAGTGTCTCTGATCTTCCTCACATCTGACGTCACTTAGTTCGGTTAAAAAAACGAGTTCATCGTGAATACCCAAGATCGAACCGTCTGACCTCCGCATTGGCTTGGGTCGAAGCAGGGTGGGCCTTGAGGTTTGAGTGGCATTGGTTGCGCGGCGTCACCATTGTCGTATTCAGCTGCAATGCTGACGCGACGATGGTTGCCAAGCGGCATATCTGCGCTCGGGAATTTCTTGGCTCGCTCCATACACAACCTTCATTGGGCGGCACCATTACTGGTCGTAACTGAGTGCTGTCCCATGCTGTCATGTCGTGATGTTGTGCAGGGTAGTGATGGTGATGGGTGGTTCATGTGCAGTTTGATTTGTCGAGTGTTGGAGTGATTCTCGTTCAGCAGTCAATATCGTGATTTCGAGTGCATGCTTGTGCGATTGGTGCATGAGGTCGTCAAGGCGCTCCTGCGTCAACCCGTCTTGAAGGATGCGCTCAGCCATGGCGAGGGATGTCGGACAATCTTAGCAGCAGTCTTAGTCTTGACCGCTAGCAGTGGTACTAAGCAGTGAGGGACGTCCAGCCCCCCTCAAAATTGGGAATACATTGGAAGTGTGCGCGGCCTGCAAAGGAACGTGGCTCTGAATAACATGAGCGAAGCCAAGTGTTACGAGTGCAATTGAGTGAGCAAGCGAGGATTGCACTTATCAAAGCAACTGAACAACACGAGCGAAGGCATGAGCGAATTTTCTATAGGAAAGGTATCTGGTAACGGTAATGGTGAAGATGGTGTGCCCTACGAATCTAGGGTCGGGATTGAGAAGAGTGCCCAATTCGTAGGGCCGGATCAAAGGGTTACCAGCCGAGCTGTGCGGTTTGGGCGTGACGGTCGTGGTGGCAGGAACAGTAGTTGAGGCAAATTTTACGAGGTGGTTATGGAGTATTGTTTGATTGTGATGGCGGGAACAGTGTTGTACGTGGTATGTGAGGTGACGCAAAGTAAGGAAACGAAGCAGCGCCCCTTAAACGGCGCGGCAGATGTGTTCGTTGCGACATCATACAGTGGCGTGCTAGGTCGACCCCCGAGTACGATGCCCGTAGTGGTAGGGTCGTGGCCTCGTACAGCGTAGAATATTGATTTTCTCGGCGAGCACCAGGACTTTGTTGAAGTTATGAATCCCGTGAAGTAAAATATCATGCGAGATTTCCGGCTTCAAGTAGCCGACGCAGCGATCCACTCGCTCCACTTCGTGCATGTAGCTCACATGTTCGCACAGCGCGAGAAAATCGCTAGTCTTGGAATGACCCAAGCTGTCGCCAAGTGCGTAGCTTCTGGCGTGCTGAAATTGAAGCCGCGATCGGCTCGAAGCGCGGTCGAAGCCTTGCGCATTCTACGTGCTGTATTGGGCAGTTTCGCAGAAAGAACTCAAATTTACGGTTGGCCTCGAGGGCCTTTCCCTCTGTGACAGCAAGGAGACGGCGTACCGAATCTTCGCTGCATCCGACGTGACGTAGTTCGCGGAAAAAAACAAGTTCATCGTGAAGATCCACGTTCTAACCGTCGGACCCTCACGCTAGCTAAGATCGAAACAGGGTGGGCGTTGCATCTTGAGCGGCACTGGCTCGCAGGTGGCGTGGCTATTGACAGGAGCCGCAAGGCTGACGTGACGACGGGCTTCGCAAGGTGTGTTTGTTTCCGGCATTTCCCTGGCTCGGTCCACATTACCGGCATGGATAGGGTGGCGCCATCACTGATTGCGCCAGAGCGTTGTCTTACGCTGTCATGTTGCGATGGTGTTCTCGATGAGATGACAATTGGCTCCTCAGACGGTGCTGGTGCTGGTGCATTCACTGATGATTGTTGAGGCGTAGAGTCGCGTTCCGCCGTCAATGTTGCAATCTCGAGCGCCAACTCTTGCAGTTGGCGCATGATTTTGTCGAGGCGTTCCTGCGTGAGACATTCGAGCGGAATGCAGGCGTGTTCGTCCATGGCGGGGGTGTCGGACTAGCTCATTCGGGGTGGCTGTATGTGTTTAAGGGAGAGCACACGACCAGTGGTGCTTGGTCGCTGAGGGATGTCTACCCCCTCCAAAAATATGAGATAATGTGGGAAGCAAAGGTGCGGGACAAAAATATGAGATAATGTGGGAAGCAAAGGTGTGGGCGCGGTCCGAAAAGGATTGTGGCTGTAATCCCAAGTGTTACGAGTGCAATTGAGTTAGCGAATGAAGATTGCACTATCGAAGCAAAACATTGACGAACTAAGGAACGAGAGAATGTCATGTAGCAAACTAGCATGGTAACGGTAAAGCACAAACTGTGGGGTGCGCGACGGGTCTGGCGCCGAGTTTGGGAATTGTCGAGGCGGAGGACTGGAGCGCGGGTTACCAACCGAACCGTGAGGTTGGGTCGCGATGTGAACAGTGGCGGGAGAAGTGGTCAAGGTGAGTGTCACGAGTGGTAACGTTTTACTGTAGGGTGCTGATTTTGGGAACAGTCGTGTACGCGGTAAGCAGGGGCACGAAGTAAGGAAAGGGAATATTCCTTACATTTCCTTACAATAGAGTATATATGGGTTTAGGGTATTTTTTGGTATGTGGATTATGTACACATTTAATGAGTGTTCTAATATTTGTCAGGGTCGAGGGTGTGCTGGTGGGATTTCCTGTCTGTTCTTCACGAATGACGACAAACTGCAGACCCCACACCCCCAAGCTTCCATCCCAATTGAAACAGATCAGTGCGCTGCGTTTCTTTGTTCGGTTGAATATGGCTTATCTCGGTTCCTGGAGGTGCCGCTGGTCAAGAGCAGTGGTTGATTGGCTAGGGTGCCGCCGAACCACGTTTCAGCCCTGGGAATTGTCCAACAGAGCCACCAACACAAGTCAAACCTTGGGGGTGTCTCGTGGGCGTGGGATGATATAAGCTTTTTTCCGCCGAGGGTCCCTGTCTTTCCGAAAACGCCCCACTGTCTTTCTGGCTCTGTCTGTGCAAAAAGACGGGCGGAAAACGGGCGCAAGGCCCCGCCGAATACGACACGGCTCTCCGGGCCGAATTGTTGCGCCCACCTGACCCAAAAAAACCAGCTCGGGCAGAGGCCGAAATCGAAAGGCAACACCAACTTTGGCGAGGGCAGTTGTAGGCGAAACGCTCGCGAGAAGCGAGGTTACCCCCCGGACGGCCGACGACACCCTCTTGTCGCACGACCGGTTGCGACGGGACGGTCGTCAAGTCGTCGCAGAGCCTGTCGCACGAGAACTCTCTACAGAGTGCTTCGCGATCAGACATTTGAAACCTTCTCACATTTCGTATGAACAACGCGGTGTATTCTGACACCATAAAATGGGTCGACCAATCGGCGAACGTGTTCCTCCTCCGACGCAGGAACCAATACCAGACGACCGCATCCCTTGTTCATCAGGAGCCAACCGTCGACCCTGGAATTGGCGGGCGGCCAGGAGGTCCAGATCTGAAAACCGGGTGACTTGATTAGTGGATTCAGCTCAAGGTGGGGCTTCAAAGCCAGTTGTCGCCCTCATTCTGATTCTTTTTTGTCTTGTTCACGTTTTTTCATGATGGCCAATGCGTTGTCCTCCAAGTGCTCATGCACCCGCTTCATCCATTTTTTCCGCTAAGTCCTCAACGCCCCACCCCTAGCACGTATCAGCTCCCACAGCAGCCCTCGTAGAAAGTCTGCATACCGTCGTGGTCCTCGATCTGGTTTTTTGTAGACGATTAGTTTTGACTGCCTCCCTTTTTTTTTTGGGCAGCCCGACCGTCCAATTTGTCATTTGTAGATTAGTCCACAGGTTCTGCAACTCGTCCCCAAATCGAGAGAGGCGCATGTAGAGCTATCTTGAAAACATTTATGCAACACGCTAGATTACAAGGTTCTGAATGTCCTATATGATACGCTTGTCTACCATAGAGCGTTATGTAGACAGCACCGTAAGTTCATCCTCTACGGTAATACTTGTCCGTAGTTGTGATCTGCAAACTGATCTAAACGGATAGAGTCGTCTAGTTAGAATCGGATACTCTTCGACGACATTCAGGTTCAGAGCGACTCTACAGTGTCGCGTTAGTGTATTTCTTTTCTGATCCATCCATGACGTAGTGTACGTTTTCTTAATCGTCGAAACCGCTGATGCGCGACCACGTACATCTTTTGTGTTGAAGTTGACCGACCACTTGAAGTTAGTAGCGATACCCATTTAGGTAGGTTCGTTTTTGCATGCACCCGGAAGTTTGGCGAACCCATATGACGTTTACCTAGTTAGGCGCGGTTTTCTTTCTCCGTAGGGCACAATGTCCTCAGATGGGTTCGATTGGGTCCTATATTTTTGGCACCAATTTGGCGGGTGCGACGACAAGGACGACGACGAATTAACCGACGCAGAGGATGACTATGCTCAGGATGCAGGCAACGATCTCATCTACAGTCCCGCTGTTGAAGACCAGTACTACGAAGCTGCAGAGGCTCCCTCGCCAGTCGTAGAAGAGGGTACCGCGGCTGCTGAAGACGAGGGAGGCCGGGAACCAGTTGCATTAGAAAGGGACGGTGGAGAAGAGGGAGTCTTGGAAGCAGGTGCAGAGGAAGCGGACGATGAAGAGACGGAGTCGGAATATGGCGACCCGATCGAGAACGAAATAGAACGGCAGGCAGACGAAGGCGACGGTGAAGAGGATGAGACCGAGTACTCGGACGCAGTCGAGGGAGACGACGACGATGACAGTTCGGCTGACGAGGACGATGAAGAGACGGACACCGATTTTAGCAACGCCAGTGACGAAGACATGGAGGAGCGGGAAAGCGATGAGGAGGGTCAAGGGGGCGAGAGTTCAAGCCACCACGGAGCTGCCGAGGGTGTAGGTGTTGGGCAGTCAAACACCACTCGACCGTCTCAAGGCCAAAGATCATCTGCAGGGGACCAACAACCTTCGCAAGGCCAAAGGTCTGCTCGACGTCGACGACGCTGGCGGGGCCGACGATCTGCGCAGAGACAACCACCTTGGCATGGCCAAGACGATCAGAATTCAAGCCACACTCGGCGTTCCCTGTTTAACGAAGACACCGGTTTCCTTGGGAGCGATCCACCGCAGAGCGACGCCGAGAAAGCTCACAGGAAAATGCTCGCTACCGTGCATATCGACGGAAAAGCCGCACACACCAGAGCACAGTACGCCTGCAACTGGCGCCATTACAAGCGATGGGTTATTGTAATGATGATGACTCTGCTGGCAGACGTAATTCCAGAGTCCGAGAAAATTGACCTCGAGAACCCAGACGAAGTAGGCAGGTATATGGGCGACGACTTGAAACTCTCGTGGGACTCGGTGGACGACTCCGAGCAGCATCTGCACGGACCCCGTGTTACCGGGTGGAGGATTATCCGCTACCTAGAGTACTTGTTCAATGAGACACCTGCACAAGCGAAGGCCCTCAAGGGAGATGCCCCTGTCGTTGCAGGGAGGGAGCCCAAGCCCAGCACACCAAAGATGATTAAGGCGAGAATGAACGCTATCGGCTGCCTCGGCAAATGCGAGTCTGCGCTGTACGACTACCCCCTTTCCCAGATGCAAGACAAAGTCGCGCAGGGCAGGGCGTTTATGAGAGTGAAGCTGGTCAACCTCAACGAGGAGCAGATTCGGTGAGCAATTTGTTGTGGTAGATGTGAAGCACATTCCACTCACCTTGCAGTTCATAACCGAAAGCTCTAACGAGTCGTGGACGATCATCGTCGCTTCGTACCATTGCTTAGCGTATAACGACTGCCTACTGTCTGTGCAGAACCGGCGCGGATCAGCACCGTGGGTCTCTCGACGACTGCTACAACGTGGATCAGTACAAGGAGCTGCATCACAACATTATTCCAGAAAAGACTTTTAAGATCTACGCGCGGAGCAAGGATTTTCCATCGCAGGCGCTGTGGAGGGTTCTCGCCGTGAAGGTCATGATTCAGCTGGCGCACCAGGTTCTGGGAAGGGGGGTCTCTATTCGCAAAATCCGATTCGCCAACATGTTCATCCGCATGTGCCGGAGCAGCACCCGCGTAAAAGGGAAGATGGACCTTCCTGTGCTCGTCATCGCCTCGAGGAAAACAAAGACCAACCTTTCCAATAACCTGACACATCAGTATCTGGCGAGGCACATCGACTGGCAGCTCTGCGGCGTTGGCGGGGTTTTCTTGTGGGTTCATTGGCTCTACGATCTCGTCCCGATTAGATACGGCCCTGGAGTGGTACCTCGACTCAAATTTCGGAAGCCGCGTAAGTGGACCAAGAAGCACCTGTTTTTTGGCATAAGGAAGCCGAATGACCCTCCTCCGCAGCCGCAAGACGAGATGAAGTACGTGACTCACAACAACTGGATCCGCTGGGTCATGAAACAGACAAATTGGATGTTCAGCAAGGTGACGCACATTTTCAGACGATCGGGGGCGCAGGGGCTGAGCGACGACCGTTGCGCCGATGCAGACATTGGTGCTCTGGGTGGGTGGGAGTAGGGAGAGATGCGGAAGGCGTACATTATTGGGATTCCTTTTCATCCGATGCTTATGATGGCTGGATTCACCGGAACTCCGGGGGATTACTACATCGGCAGAGCACACGCTGTTCTCCCAGTAAAAAAGGAGTGGAAAAAGCTGAAGAAGCTTTTCAGAAAGCACATCTTCCCCTGGGCCGAGAAGCAGTTGAAAAAGGTAAATTTGTGGGCTTGAATTCACCAGTTGGGAGCAGATGAGGTATTCAATCATAGCATCTCTTCGACTTTGCAACCGTCCCTCACCACCAGGTCGATGAGTACAACCGTCCCAGGACCTCCTACAAGCAGCATCACTCTGGGCGGAGGTTTTTGGAGTGCCTCATCAACTGCGGTTGGGACGTGGTCGCGCAGACCTTGCAATGATGTGGATCCACTGTCGCGAGCACGAGTTCGACCCAAATGAACCACGATGCGACTGCCCGCGACACCCATATGTGCAGATAAGCCGTCTCTGCAAAGAGCCCTTGTTTCAAAAGTGGGCCAAGATTGTTGCAGCCATGGACAAAAACGGTCAGGACATGAGGGAGAACGCGGGACAGTCGATGGAGGCCGTAAGTGTCTTTTTCGCCACTGATTATTCTTGTTACTGCTAGAATTCTCACCGCCTAACGTGCTTCCGTTTCGCAGAACGCTATTTACCGTATCGAGGGAGAGCACGAGACAGCGAAGCTTCTCGCAGAGAACCATTGCTTGCGGAAGCAGAATGGGCAGAAGGACGTCCTCACCGCCGAGCTCCAGGCCGAAAACCGTGCGTTGAAGAGCGACAAAAAGAGTCTCCTGGAGCAGCTGGCGCAGCTCAAGGCCGAGTTGGCCGCTCTCACGGTCTCCTCGGCGGGCAACGTTGGCGCCGACAACTCTGCCGCAGGAGCTGCGGGCTCCTCGAAGATGGAGAAAGGTGGAGCTGGCCCTTCAACCCCAGAGCCAGCTGCACCTACACCAGAGATTGTCTACTTCGACAGTGTAGTGAGGCCGTGGCGTGACAGCACCACAGTGGCAGACGCATGGGCGTTGTGGAACAAGGCTAGCTTCCTTGTGGAAGGCCGAACACTGCGTGCTGTTGCAGAGGATCCTCGCTTTATCGTTAAATGGGCACATTTCAAGAGGGGAGAGGAATGCGAGGACGAGAAAGGCAAGTTCAAACCCACCGTGCGCCTCGATGCCAAGGATGGCACTTGTGAAAAGCAGCTGCGTCGCATTCACAAGGCTATGTTAGCGGTGGAAAAGTTCAGGGTGGACGACTCGGTGGAGGCGATGACCAATGACGTGAACGTGCTGTTCCAGACATCTCCCTCGGTTTTCGCAGATGGGCTAATCGTTAAGGAGAAGAGGGGCACGAAGAGGCAGCGAACATCAACGGTTGGGGGGAAAAGCCTCACGGACGATGCGCAAGAGAGGGTTTCGTACCTTCTCGTGCTGAATGGTCTGCGCGACGACACGTGGGGGGAAGAACTCTTCGGCAAAGCCCAGTGGATGACGATCAAGGACGTAGAGTCTCAAAAGCCTTTGAAGAAAAGGCCTGGGGCGTGACTTGGGGCGTAGAATTAGGGGTTATTATGAGGTGGTGCGAAATTTTTGTGCATGGGGTTTGCGTTTGCCACATGCGTAGAGAAACATTTTAAAACTCTACGCGCAGACTCGTAGGACCTTTATATGCCAGGGTATATTCTGACGTGAAAGCGTCCAGGCCAACCTGAAGGGTTTAGGGTGCTCTCTTCAACATTGTCGAGGTAGATGGTGTGCGTGTTGGTGGTTTGCTGTAAAAACTGGTGTTTTAGGTTGTTGCATGGTAGAGATGGACAGTTCCCTTCTGATCGGTCGAGAAACCGACCTGAGAAATGCGGAGATTTCCGGGCGAGGCGGCGTCGGACTCACAACAACTCTACGCGGTTTCTCTCACCATATTGATTATGGTACGATTGATTGTGATTTGTTCCTTGCTTAGACGACGAGACAACTTTGCGTGCCTCGGAAAAGAGCATTGTTCAGAAGTGCAGGTGTAGATAGTGTGGAGCTTGGCCACGGACACGTGGACACAGCTTAGATGCAAATATGGTAGAGTTGGTTAACAAGGAACCTGTAGTCCGCAAAATGTTTTATGAGGTTGCATCGAACTCACGACAACTCTACGCGGTTCCTATTACCATTGGGTTCTAATTTGCAGACAAATAGGTTCGTTGTTTATGCGACGGTAGATTGTGGTTGATTAGTTTAGTGAGGGCGGGAGAACAGATGCAAAGATGCATCAAGTTGCATCGGACTCATAGCAACTCTACGCGGTTTCGTCTACCAATGGGTTTGAAGGTGCAGACAAATAGGTGTTTTCTTTAAGCGACGGTACATTGAAGTTGTTTAGTATTTCAGAGAGTCCTCACCATTGCGTGCGATCGTTTGAGAGCTCTGTTTAATTCTGCAGGTGTCGGTTTTGTGGAGCTTCATTGAATTCGGAGAGCCGCGACAATTTCTACATTTTAAGGGGATAAGTGTTCAACAGCCCAAATCTTCGGGTATACACTATCATGCAGAACATCTTTAGTTATCGTGCAGTAGACCAGATACACTGGACAGAGCTTAGATGTGAGGATCGTCAAATTGGTTTAGCGGGGTACTGCTCAAAGCAACGGTAGATGTATGGAACACATTTAATTCTCATTATCATGCAGATCAGCAACTGCACACTCTAACTACACATCACCCGTCAATCACTCATCCCCCTTCTCCCCCTTCTGCCTCGGCCCACGTCGCGTTGGCAGTATGGAAAGCGTTGCGCCCTGGTGGCGAGCCAGTCCCCTAGAAGCGAAGCCACACTGACACCAGTAGACCGTGACCCTAGCTACCACCTTGGCGAGATTGGTCACTTCTACCTCGTCCTTGGGGAGGTTTAGGATCTCGACAATCTTGCCCTCCAAGACAGCCGGCCATTCCTTCTTTATGAGTTGTCTGTCTGAGACCTGCTTCACTGCAACTATGCCGCTTCGGGCCACTTCTGCCGCATGCTTCGACAGCTCCTCGTCGTTGACGATGCAGCTCGCGACGGTCAAGGCGCCAGCTTTGTAGTCTTCTTCTGGAGTACCAATCGAGGCTCCCCATAAGGTGTACAGCGCTGATGCTACGCCAGCAGCGTACACTGCAGGAGGGACTTTGTCTGGGGCTGGTTCCACACCCGTGCAGCCAAGCAGCATTGCCAAGCCGATTCCTTCGCAGAGACCGGTCTGCAATTCCGCACCCTTTGCCAGACGCTCGTTCGTTTTCTTCAAGACGACACCGAAACTGTTGGGAGGGCAGTATCAACAAGCAGCGTTTTGTGAGCACACCGTAAGCCTCCAACAATGCATTGCAACATACGTCACTCACTTCTCAATCCGGGAAATGTGCAGCTCGTTCAGAACGCTCCAGACACCTGTCGGCATCTGCTTGGCAAGGTTGAGATGGGCCGACCACGCTTGGACATCCTCCTTGTCCATGCCGTAGGCGATGGGGTCCGCATCTGGAGTGTATGCCATCCAGCAGATGGCGATGCTGAAGTTCCTATTCCGCTCGCTGTCAAAATTCCCCAGATTTCTCTTGCACCCTCCAACTGTCTGCTCGGAACAGTACTTGCCTCCCGCTGTTGCCTTCTTCCGCTTGAAAAACCCGCCTGCTTTGTACGGCTTATCTTCCCCGTACACTTTACCCAGACCGTCTGCTACAACACAAACCTTCCCTCTCTTGCCCTCTCCGATCCCGTCCCCATCACTAGCAATCGCTTCATCTGCACCTGTCTGCGACTCGCTCTGGTCCGCCTCCACATCCCTCCCCCTTTTCAACCCACGTGTACCCTCTGAATGTTCAGGCATTTGACGAAGCCTGTCTTCCCCAGAGGTTTCCATTGCCGGCTTTCCAGCACCATGATCCTCCGGTCCCCGTTCCTGCATCAGTCAAAGTCGTGCAGCAGATAGTCGCGCCCTCTCCGACGCTAGAGCCCTCGTACGCTCCGCAGCCCGAGTTCTCTCCTCCTCTTCCTTCGCTGCCAGACGCTTCTCTTCCGCTTCCATGTCTGCTATTTGAACGACCACATCTGCATTCTTCTTTTCTCCAGAAGTCTCATCCACCCTCTCTGCCTCCTTGCCGTCCGAGCTCCCATGTTCTTTCTCTTCCACCGTGTCGTGTTCGCCTCCTCTTTCCTTGATCTGCACGTCCTCTCCGACACCTTCAACAGCACCCTCCGAACCGGTGTGCGCCAATAGTTCCCCCATTGCCCCCTTCGCCCCCTCTCGCACATTCCCCTTGCCCACACCTGTCTGTGGCTGTCCGTTTTCACCACCTTTTTGTACTTCCTTATCTACCGCTTCAACATCCGTGGCGACACCCAGAGTCATGCCATGGATGTTAGTATGCTGCAGGGGGGTGGAAGGGGCGGCATCTGGAATTGAAGGCGCCAACAAAACACCTGCGGCCTTTGCTGGAGGCGAATGCAGCATGCTAGACCTCCCGATTTCCACCTCTCGCCCCGTGTTTCGCTTCCCGTGCACAGCGGCCATGATCTCTTCCTTCAGCGTCTTTGCAAACTACCGTTGATGTTCTGTGGTATCAGCCACCTGCTTCTCTTCCGCCCGCATTATCAATTCTTCTACGTACTGCTTTATGAACGGCTTCAAGGACCGTTGAAGCGCCTCAACATCGACACCGACCAACTCCCCCCTCTCTCTCGACGCATCCGTATCCGCCGCGAGCTCCTGCGGTCCACTCTTTCGGTCGTCGTCGGGAAGCTTCTTCAATTTTTTTGCAGATGTCTCTCCGCCTTGTCTGCGCTGCTCGATCTGCCGTTCAACATTACTTGCTGCCACCGTCCGAGCCGCCGCATGCTCTCCCAACTTCACCTCTTGTGAACTCCCTTCCGCCTGTCTGCGCCGCTGCACCCTTAGTCTTTCGGCCTCTTGTAGAGCACCCTTCATGAACCCACACTCCGCGTCGTTGACGTGCATAGTCCCCGCCTCTCCGCTCAGCAATGGATCTGACATACCCCCCTTGGTCAACAGCGATTGGGTATGGCGCGTCCTCGGCTTCCGCGTGAGCAACAGCGTAGACGGTGCACGGACCCCTGTGTCGGCATGCGCCTCCGTGGCTTCCTCCTCTTCACCGTCTTCCTCATTTGTCAGATCGCACGTAGAGTCTGAGTCCGCGTCGTCGTCCACCTCTACCAGGTCAGCTACTTGCTTGTTCGCGTGGCCCCCGAAATGATCGCGGCATGTCGTTATCAGCCAGGCCAGTATTTCCTCCTTCGAGTATGTTCCTTTGCCAAGACCAGGAAAGGGTCTCCCGCTCTGCATCGAAAGCACGAACTCCCAATTTTCCACCAGCTTCCCCCAGAAATACGACACTAGCTGACCGGACCCAACCTGCATCCGCCCAACATGTGACGATACCTGTGAATAGAAAAATCACATGCACTGTGTTTAGTAGTGTATTCAGAATAGATTGCAATTCCGCTGAAACCAGGGTGTCAAAAGCTTACCGTGCAGCGCTCGAGCGTCAAACTCGCCAGCCTGGTCCTCATCACGCGGAGCTCCTCATCCTCGCAAGTCAGCGCAGTGTCTTGTGGACAACGCTCTACAAGGAGTTGCTCCTTCAGCCATCTGAAACCACAACAGTTTTAATCAGATGGGTTTGTCTGCCACGGGATGAACGCAAAGAACGGGAAAAACGCACTCACCCTAAAACTTCTTCGGCGAAAGCAGCGTGTGTATGGGTAGGCACACCAGACTTGGGGTCGTAGTGCAGGACGCGCGTGCGGAAGGGAGAGCCCGAAGACACAAGTAGATCGTCTGGATGGAGAACTACCATCAAGCTTATTAATGCGGATGGATTGAACGATACTCTGCACAAAACCGCATTAGCGTTAAATCAGATATGCTCGAAACAAAACATCAATTCAGCGCGATCGAAGCACAGGTCGTTTACCGAGACCACAGGGGGATGACGATAGCCTGTTTACGGAGAAGACTGTGTTCTATGCCCTGGCGCATCGGCTGACGCTGCGGTAAAGCCAAACTCGTCCTAACAGTTGACGCTGGCACTATTCGAATCTTTGATCGATGCTTACGAGTGAGAGAGTCTTGCACCTGTAGTCTGGGGGGGAAGGAAAAACAGCTCGAAGAATATGTTGGTCCTCTATGCACTAGGGGGACGGGGATGCTTTGTAGAGCGGCAGAGATGATTATGATTCTACAAAAAACGACTGTCGTAAAGCCTCGATTTGGACCGCAGCAGTATTCTTACAAGATAGAGAAATCTAGCATGCTTTCGCTCCACTCCTCTTCCTTCGAGATAAAAGCTTGGTAAGCCTCCTGCGTAATCTTTACGGCTACCCCACAGCCTCATATAATAAGAGGATCTGCCATTGCGTTCAGAGCTAAGCAGATCTACGCCACCAGCTAAAACTCGAAATTCCGTTCTCGTCTTCTAGACACTGCCTTAAAACACACGACAAGGGCTCCGATGCTAGATAAGCGGGTGCAATGAAAGAAGTCCTGCTCAACAGACTCGTTGACTAAATGACTGGGAAGTGTATTTCCAGCAACATTTACATCTGCGCGAGTAAGAGATGTTCAAAACCCCCTACGGAGAGGTGTTGAGCCAGATGTCTTGGGTAAGATGCCGCGACGCGATTGACATCCAAGGGGTGGACAGATGTACATCGCTACGTCTAGATGCGACTGCTCTACGTTATCATAATGCAGTGGGTGGTGTGTCATATGCCACGTGGAGTACTGCCAGTTCCTCCGCTCCGTAGTCGATATCAACATTGCAACGTAAATCTTGCGATGATCTACGGTCCTGCACGCCGCATGCGAAATGTGTTGGGGGGAAACGGAGTGGATAGAGTGTTTTTTATTGCACCAGTCACGTGGGGTGTCTGCCCTATTGTTGGCGCGCAGCATGCTTCTCCGCCACCGCATGTGGGCTTCTTATCTAGCGGAGTCACACAGAACACTGGCAACGTTATCGGAATGAGAGTGCGCGACTGGATATACGCCACGTGTTGTGCTGCAGAGTACTCTAATTCTGCGTCGTTTTCAACATTGCAACGTCAATGTTGCCACGAATTGACAGTTGAGCGAGTCGCGTGCGTAATGTATCGCAGCTTAGATTTCGACTTTGCCTCGTACAATGTTGTCGGGGAAGCAATGCATCAACTGCCACGTGTTTGTTTACAGTTGTGCGCCGTATTGTCTGCGCAAGTGTTGCGCATAAATCAACTGGTCCACGTCAGGTTCAGTGGTAAATGTCATATTTGCACTCTTTGTGGCATGCTGCGGCAATAAACAGCAGGGAACTGCATATTTGTTGGCGCGCACCACCATTCAAGTCCACATAGGCAGTGTCAGCGACGTTGCGGACTTGTATTGGTCACTACTTCAAACGGTTTGCCAAATAGGCAATGACAGGGACGTTTCGGGTAGACGCATGAATTGAACAAGTGTACATCGTTCGACGGGACGAATGTTCTTCAGATGGCAATGTTAGGGCAGATTGTGATTGCAGATTGACATGTGTTGTAGATTTTTCCAACCGCATTGGCGCGCAGCATGTCTGCAATGTTGCATTTCAGTTTCTAAATATGCAAGAGGTTCACATTCAAATCTGCATGCACTACGGTGTGTAGTGTAGCATTGTTAGACTCGTCCATGTAAATGCACCCGATGGTGACACTACACTGTAGGGGGACTACGTCTGCAACTGACAAGCGGTGGCATTGACAGGGACAGTGATTAGAAACCGCTAAACGGGTCTACATCGATAGATGTGACCAATGTTGTTCGGATAGGGTTGTTATTGCAGATTGTCGTTCATATTTTACACGTGTGGCTTAACGATACTCTACCGTAACGCGTTCATGTGTCCCGCGTTCACATCTGCAGGCATAGCTCATGTAGATTTGTTGGCTCGCATGACTAACTCTAGCGTGATCGCCACTGAACAAATCTTGCTAGTTGCATGGTAGTCATGACTTATACACTACATTCGAAAACCAACATAGCATAACATAGCACTGGATCGCTCACTCTGGAAGACACGCAAACAAAGCTATATAGTCTACATCTTGCGCGTATAGACACTGTATTTGGAGAAATGACACGTCTGCATTCATGTGTCCCGATTCCTCATCTTACGCCACCGCAGGCGTAGATTTGATGGCGCGCATTTACTATCTCTTGATTGATGCATGGTAGGCATGCCGTCTACACTACCCTCGAAAACCAACATGACATGAACACCTATGCTTACAACGATCTACAAAAACACTCTACTACGTTTGTGTTTTAAGGTACCAGTGACATGGCAAACATACCGGCGTTCCGATAAAAGTAGCAGCAATGTTCATTGCTAAACATGCTTGTGTGTTGGGTGACCATGTTCAGTGGAGATCGTTATCTACGCATCAATAATAATGGTTCTCGTATTCAAGCACATAATAATGCTTGATGCAGATGAGGTGGATCGAAGCGGTTGCTGGTTCTTCTGCGGATTTTTGCATGCAATGTCGCTTTCAATTTAGTCTACGCATAATACAAAGTGTGAGTCATCACCCATCCTGCATTGTCTAACCACTCTGAATCCATGCAGGCAATATTCTGTCACCTCTAAGAATCCTCAAGCATCCTCTGGCGACGCACTGCACAAGATGGGATGAGAGTAAGTGCGGCTCCCTGGTGACGAAGAAGTCCAGCGGCAGCGTGACCACACCTACACCAGTGTACCAGCACTCTAGACACCACCTTGGCAAGGTCCATAATCAACGCGCCATTATTCGGATTCTGGGACTCCACAATCTCGCGCTGCAGCAGCAGCGACCATTCCTCTGCGCTGTGACGTTCACGAGCATGGCTCTGCATTACAACTATGGATGCGTGTGCCGCATCTGCAGCATGCCCTGCTAGAACTGCATCACGTGTAATGGTTCGTACTACACCCCTGGCGCCGGACATGTAGTCAGCAGATGTAGTAGCCCCTGACGCCGCCCACAAGGTATATAGCGCAGCGGCAAGCCCAGCCGCGAAGACAACCGCCTGTACGCCTTGGGGCGGCGTCATGTCAGCAATGCACGCATGCATGACTGACTGTCCAACACCAGTGCACAGCGCACTTTCCCCATCGTCACCCGACCGGAGACGCTCTTTCGTTCTTTGTACAACGATATCAAACCTGCGTAAGAGGTGGCAAGACGAGCATCAGATTTGTCGGAACATATAACGTGTGATAAACTGGAACTCCAGGCACTCACCTGTCGATCCGGTCGAGATGGAGTTCGTTCATCACGCTCCATACTCCAGTGGGCAACAACTTGGCAAAGTCAAGCAGCGGTGACCAGAGCTGGATGTCACTCAGCCTCAGCCCGTAGTATTCGAGGTCGATATCCGGAAAATATGTCGACCAGCAGATGGCAACGGTGAAATCCCGACTCCGCTCTGTGATATGCAACCCCATGTTCCGCTTCCGTCCGCCCACCATCTGCTCTGAGAAGTAGCGTACCTTATCATCCCCAAATCGTCTAATGAAAAAACCGGGCGACGTGAACGGTCGGGCAACGTTGACACGCTTTCCCTGTGTGGCTGGCTCATCTTCAGACTTTTGCGACCCGTCTCCTTCATCATCGCCATCTCCCGCACCCGCTGCAACACACACTGTTATAGTCACAATAGGCTTGAATGTGCCTAAAACGAAAGATAGAGAGCACAGACGGATTTCTGCACAGCGGCTTCAAACGTTGATAGCGTTCTGCTCACAGCTGCAAATGACTTGATTCAAATTGGATCTGGAGCGTCTTCACGTCGTCTACAATTAGCAATTTAAATTGCACGATTTGATAAAGAATTGACGACACAGCGTCGGTTTGAACGAACGGTACTATGGCAGCCACTATAGTCTTAGAACACAAGATAGGAAGAGTTACGAGTTGGGAATGACTCCCAGCTCCTACAAACCCCAAGAGCCGAGGTACAGTGATGTGGAACAGTGCCACACTGTCCCCAACCACGAAGGGTCTCGAAACTACCCTTCACTAGGGCCTACACCAAGTGAAATGTTACACTACACAAAGTAATGTAACTATCTTCAATATCTTGAGGTGTACCCTTTTGGCAAGCTTCGAAATCACTTCAGGCTTGACACCAAGGCTCGGGCTCTTCATCACAAACTCATCCTTGAGTTCTTGATGGGTCTGCTGCACACACCTGCGACACGCCGAACGTTCGACACAGGACAAAATAGAAACCGCGCACGACAAAATTGAAACCGCGCGCGAGACACAAACGACCGCGTAACACGC